GGCGGCGGAGGCGGAGGCGGTGGCGGTGGCGGTGGTGACGGCGGCGGCGGTAGCGATCACGATGGTGGCGGCGGCGGCGCTACACTCGCGGTTCCATACAGATCCCAACGACCGATCGGCACACACTTGGGACGAAAACTTTGAATGCACCGACGCAAGGACGAGCGGCGTCACTGGTCGACTGTTTAATGCGCATGCGCCAACCCGCCATCCCTCGCCGCCTCTTTATTCCCGGAATCGCGCTGGGCATTCGGTCTCCCCAGCCGATAGGGGGACCTACTTTTCGGCATTAGGGCTGGCTTTTATAGGCGTGCATGTGTAGCATACGTGTCGAAAGTGTCGTCCGATGAATTAGTTGGCGGGTATTGGTGGGAAGTTCCTTCTCTTTCCTTCCGGCCGATTAAATATTCGTGGCTAAGGATGGGCGGTTGGGGCTGGGGGGAGGGGAAGATCGGTGTGTTCGAGGTCGTAAGTGGAGGTAGCGTAATAGTAGGGATTTGAATTGTCGTGGGTTTGAGGGAATCGACGAGATTGCGATGGTAAATGATAATTTCGGCAGTGGTTATTTGCAGGTTGCGTAATGATGATACTTTGAAAATGTATGAATAATGATAATTATAAATTTAATGAGATTTGTTCCGAGTTATTTCCTTGCTTATTATAACGTGCGAATAATTTGAAATACTCAACTTTAATGAGAAATGAGCTAATGAGCAAGATTTCGCCTTATTTTTCGTGGTCATTGAGTTTTTAGGTAGGAATTATTGTTGGAATCTTTGTATTAAACGGTTGAATTTGAGTAGGAGTTTGACGTAATTGACCGTCACATTACCAGGGACTTGGAGCTAGGAGAGCAGCGTGAACAAACGTAACCGAGTAGCTAGATATTGTAAATTGAAATTGCATTTTCATAAATATAATTTAAAAAATGTTTACGGCATAATACGTTTTGCGTTGAAGGTTTGCCATCGAGCATAATTATTCGTAGATGATATCGTTAGTTTGAAGAACGCGAATGAATGAATAGATTGATTTATTTAATTAAATGTTGATCTAATAAAAATCGAATCTAAATCTTTTGTGTGTGTGTATATATATATATATATATATATATTAAGATGATAGTAAAAGGGATATAATTATTTACATTAATAATTCAGGTGGATTACGCGTATCTGTTGTATTTTGTATTTATTTAAAAACTACAAATTGAATATCAGGCTTAAAATTAAATAATAATTATAAGATAAAATTAGTTTAGCACGATTAAATTGTCCTATGCTATTATAATCTGACAAATTGATGAAACACTACATCCATTATAACATTATAGAGGCATGTGTGACCATTTATTTTGTTTATTCCTCTGACGTATGCGAATTACATATGTAATTTTTTCATATTTACTATATTGCTAATATGTAAATAAAGCATAAAATTGTAATTGAAAAACTTAATTAAATGAGCGATATAATGACATTTTTTATTGGAGTAATTATTAATTTTTCAAATCAATGTTAATGTTAAAAATAATTGTTGCTCGTGTAATTTTATTAAATACGTGATATTGTATTAATATTTTTGCCAAGTAAAGTAAAAATATTGATTTTCAATTGAGCAAACGAAGAGATTGATTTTCTACAACGATAAAATTCAAATAAAAATATTTTATATGACATCCACGCCATGAATGATTAAATAGTGATATTTTAAAATGAATGGTACCAATATTATAATAAATGGAATAAAAAATGTCGTGGGAAATATAATTTATTTTTAATCATTTTTATTATTGATATATCACTGTATTTTAGTAGCATATATTATAATAATTTGTTTATCTCATAATATAACATAGTTAACATAAAACATCTTTCGTGGATCAATAATAAGCCAGATTCTAGATATAGACAAATTTATTTTTTTTTTTTTATTATTTTAATTTATAATTTTTTTTAATTATTATTATTATTGTTATATTTTTTTTTAATATTGTTGATAAGAACTACAGTTTTTATATATTTCAGTAGACTTAATTAAGTTCTTTAAACTCGCGCGAAGTAATAAAATAACGATCAATCTTGTCATAAATATATTTAAATAGATTTTTTTAAAAGCTTTTTGCATAACATTGCTCTATACACTTCTTATTTAGATAAAATTGTATCGAGACATTTTTCAAGACAATATATTTCTTAGGTGAAGTCTATAGCTTTTACGTTGTGTTTTTCTTTACCTATGCAGCTTATGAAAATTTTACAAGCAATCGGTATCGATTAAATCCTTATTCGACTGTTAATTGATTATTCTCAATTTCAATAATTGAGATCAACATCATGAATTTTCTCTCTACTACTGATAATGCCACCTTTATGCTGCACCCTACGTACTGACTAGGTTAGTAAAATATTTAAGTCATGCAACATATTTTTGGATTACAATTAGAAATAAAAAATGCATATCAAAAAGAATTACTTTTATCTTGGCATTTAACCCCAAATTTGTAAGAACATCAATTTATATAAATGCAATAGCATCTCCAGTTTGGCAGTATAATTTTCATTTTTTTTTTTCTTTTTTTTTTTTTAATAAATCATTTATATAATAATTGTCATTTACATATTTGCAAAAACTTACGCAAAATAATGCTAAGGACCAACATACACAAATTTATCACATTTATGAACATTCTTATTAATAAAATTTTCTTTAATGTTACCTCGAATGTATGCATAGCTGTAAAGTATTGAATAGGTCGATCCAATATAAAATATTATTGTAATTTATAATCAATCGAGCGATATTACTGATAAAGGGGAATATATTAAAGCTTGATAAATATTTTACTTCAAAATTACTTTAAACACTTGCATACACGCTTAAAAGCAAGCAATTCGTACTTGTAATATTTTGATTTTTAAATAATATTATTTGATACTTTTTCTTTATCAAAAATATTTAATTGCTTATTTGATAATATTAAAATATTACTATATAAATATAATTTAAATAGTATTTTTAATATAAACTCAAGGTCACATTTGCCTATAAACTTATTTTTTCCTTTTTTTATAAGAATTTGAAATTTTGTTCTTTTGCAATGTAAAGGTATTTAAGATAATTTTCTCAGCAAAAAGTACTTTTTCAGCTTTGGAGTATATTTAAATAAGTCTATACGACTGAGCATAAACAGGATCCTGAAAATGTGCTTCACATAATGTAAATACGCTCAATAATTTTGTTCATAATTGATTCCCATTTTACCAGGGACATCTTATGTAGGCCGAGAACATATGCTTGAACAATCTGCCTAGCTTCTTATAGATCTAATTATGTTCTTCATCCCTGTTAAATTTTATATTTTGTTAGTTTTGAGAGTTCAAGACTCATAATATCATCACAGAATTAAGACAATGTAAAAACCGTCTCTAATAATAAAATCATAATATGCTTTATTCTTGGACTTGCCAGAAAGCCAAAGAGCATTATGATTAGAAAATTAAATTGAAAATAAGTTCATATTGATGTAAAGAATCATGTATTTTCTCAACTTCGCGATTCGAATGATAAAATACTTTATACTGAAGTAATCTTATCATTGTTTATGCTCTTTATAAGACTATTTGTTTAAAATTGTAATTTTTTCTATACGAAATAAAAAAAATACATATATATACATATATGTATATATATTCACATACCGATTTAAAATAATGAATTATATTATATTCATTCGCGAATATAATCAAATTAAGATTATTTTCAAAATAATAAACGTTTCATATATTACAAATTACCTCAACTTATTTATTCATTATATTCAATAAAATTTTCTAACCAGTAGTTATGAAGTAAGCAAATTATAAAGTGAAATATTATAAACTTGAATACAGCCCAAAATTCTTCATCCTATGAATGTAAGATTAGCATTATTATAGATACATATTAATAAGAAGTTTATAGTTAAAGTGAAAGCAGTCAAGTGTCTTTGGCTTTCAGGAAGACTAAATGAACAGTTATGTAAAAAAATCGTACTATGTAAATATTATTATACTTCTACAGAGCTACCAAGAGCACCAAAAACGATTATTAACGAAGCTACGTAGGCTGATAAGTTATGATATTTCTACATACTTTACAAGAATAAACAAATGCAATCAACGATGCACTAGTGTCAATTGATGTTTTGTTATATTTATCAGTAATATACTAATGTTATGTATTATACGAACTTCGTGTTCTGGTAATTTGTATGACTTTTATGGTTGCAGAGGTCAAATTTTTTTTCAATCGATGAAGTTCGGATATCGATATTCGACATTATGTACAAGTAAAATATATATACGTATAATGTATTTATCGATGAAAAATCTATTTGTCTCTGGCAGGAATCATAAATCTTCGACTTATTAATAGTTTTTAACAATATGCCGACTTAACCAAGCATCAATAAATATTTTGAAAAACTCATTTTTAATGTCCTCGTATTATATTTTCAAAATTGTATTTAAACATTTTATTAACTACAGATATAACTTCTGTATATTTTCATTTACAGGCTTAACAGAATATAATTTCTATCGATATTTTTTAATTAAAATTTTTAATCCCAATACACGCAGTACGAACTATCTACAGTACAATAATAAAACAATAATTTTGTTTGTACATTTGATCGATAAAACGTTTGAACATTTATTATAAAATTTTCAATGTTCTCTTGTCTTTTTCAAAGTATTTAATGATACCCAGTGATATTTTGTTTAATATGCTTCACTTTTTTCCGAAATCTTATCGATAATGTACTCTGTTGATTATAATTGTACTGAAATATTGGACAATCACGCGATACTTCTGCAACTGTTAAACGTACAACATTTTACGTCCTTTAAACTCGATATATTATTCTATGTTTGAAGTTTAGATTTTTCACGACTAATCGGTCATTATTTACATAGAATTTTTCTTGCATATATCATTTGACTAGCAAATAGTAAAAGAAGCAAAAAACATTTAGTTATTTCGATGCTACTTTTTTATAGGAAAATGAAAGCTCCTTAGTCTATATTAGTGTAATCTGATTGAATTATTTATTTATTGTTTATCACATAAGTATAGAATGATGAAATTGTAATAATTCGGCAATTATCATTCGAATCAAAATTGGATTGTTTGAAGGCTTCGTATTGAATTAAATAAAAAGCTGGAAATTTATTATAATCACTGATTTTTTTTTTTTTTTTTTTTTTTTTTTTTTTTTTTTACCAAAGAACAAAAAAAAAGAATTTTATTTTCAAGATACGTAATCTCGCGTAGAATTTTATTTCACTATCGTTAGCTGTTTTTTGAATTTATTTTGACAAAAAACTTTGTATTTCATCATCAATGCCCGATCAACTGACTCGTAAATGATAAACAAGTGGCAAGAATATACGAAGGAAAAGAATGTTCCATACAGATTAGTTTTTCGATCTCAAAAGTATAGATTTTATTAGAATTTTGTATGAAAATTGATTTATTATATAGAAATCAGTTTTTACTCCCTGAATAAGCTCTTTCATTGATTTTTACCCAAAACCTAATTATATGCCTATGCCTGTGTGGGTGTGTGGGTTGCATATATACAGATTACACTAATGTATCTAAGAATTTTCGTAACCAAACATAAAGAGCACATAACCAGTACAGATTTTTTTTCGTCGTCAACAACAATGTCATACCTCATTCGCACGGCTAAATCACATCGCACGCGACAACAAAAAAAGAAAGAAGTTAGAGGCTTCTTTAGCCGCGCTGAAATAATGCATTACAATGCATAATCTCTCGATCGACTCGTTCACACTCCCATTCCCATAAATATTTGCTCTAAATCGTAAGTATCATAATTTTTCTTCGCTTCCATCTTCGTTAAATCAAGCCGCTTCTCGTCACAGCTGCGCATCGAACTGCGCATCGACGCGCTCCTCATTCACAGGGAGAAGAACTTAAGGAAGGTCTGGGGAGGGATCGGCACGTGGAGCGAGGCCCGATCGACGTCAGCGAGCTTCTCCTGGAAGGCCGGATCCTGGTCGGCGATGCACGGGTGCCCGAGCGACCGCCAGAACAGGCAGCGGCAGTTTCGGCATAGCTGAATCATTTCCGCGTACTCCTCTCTCAGCCCGTAAGACCTTTAAATGAGAGCGCCGTTATTTAAAGGAGATCATTTTGCCGCCTAAATCAACCTCGCTTGCGCCCAAATACACAGGTGTCAATAGGCTGCGGGAGATGGGCGTCAACCGCTCTACCTGCTCGCACTTTCAAGATCATGGGTGTGATCATGGGCAAGACACATTGCATGCGATAAGCAAGATAGTTAATTCCTCAAGTTGGTAATGACGTGGAGGAACGCGATGGTTTACAGACGTCGTAGGTGGCTGAGGTGTTTGGCGGTGTATAAGATGCATGAGAAGTGGGCAGGTTTCGTTTTTTCTTTAAATTTAGTCTTCCATCGCTTCCATTCGTCAAACGCGCGTAATGCAACCTATGCTACTTTAGTTTAGGACAAGTTTTCTCATGCAAGTTAAACGAGTATTAAAGTTCTGTTATCCTTGGGCGCCAATTGCACATTATTCGTTATAGCATTATTCAAGGCTCTTAATTGTAGAGCTATGAAGTTGTTAGAATTTCAACATCGAAACGAAATCTTACGAGAATTTTAGAATATTATCGTGGAAAATAAATTTCCGAGTATTAAAATATTATTGGTAAAATTCAAGGTTTAGTTGAGTTATTATCCATGCTCAAGATCTTTAATGCTACGTAAAAAACTTACGTTATTCAAAGTTACAGTACAAATTTCAGTTTAATTAAGGATTATTTAAAACTTATGGTTATCGTTGTTCATTATGTGCTTGCTTGTTTGCAGGTTACAAACTTTCAGTTAGTTGGCATATGAAACAAAAAAAAAAAACAAAAAAAAAAAAAACTCCAAATATTGGTATTATTGCACAAATGTATCGTTAATTGTATAATTTACATATTAATTACGGTATTAAGTAATCTTAAGTTAGTAATCTTAAGCTTAACTTTCTGGAGGATAATTTAAGTTGCAATGTTAATAAAAATGAAAATTATAAAATTTGTTAATGGCCTTTGTAGTCATATATTTGTGTTGATTATGGATAATAGTTTGAAAATGTGCTGCAATTATATATGAACTCTTGTTCTTGGCAAATGATCACACAATCAACGTATTCCGTTCTTCAATCATGTATTGGAGTAATTTAATTTCTTTATTAATTAGTGAAATAAAGTAACGAAAAGTCAATTAGTAATCGTAGCATATAAAATACATGAACGTCCAAGCATTTTAAAACGGTACTTAATTAACTCAATGCGCACACACGCACACACACACACACATACACACACATATATATATATATATATATATATATATATACGCACACAAGTGTGTGAGTAGATGAGGCTCGATTACGTTGCTTAATATATAATGTGCATTGCACTTTGTATATTTTATTTATAATCCATCAATGCCCAAAGCAATGGCTCAATAAAATTTTATCACTCGAGCTCTTTCAAACATAATTATAATGTATGTTTGTTTGTTCGTTAAAGTAAGGATAAACGACGAGGTGAAAGGAAAAATCATAACGGTCCGGCAATAAAGTCTCTCGGAAGCGTCACTAATTACCGGCAGCTCGCACAATGGCCGCCGCGATAAAAACGAGAATAAATAGCTATAATGTAGGCATATAATAATTTACCTCCGGGCAATGGTAAATATGGTTTTCCAGTCTTTTTCGGGATTGTTCTGCCGCGCGGTAGCGATCTGCTGGGGCGTGAAGTGGTATTGGGCGAGTTCGCGCCAGATTCTCTGCTCCTGGGCGAGGACGGCAAGGTGCTCGCAGGCTTCCGATGAAGCCTCGATATCCCGGGGATCGCTCAGTCGTAGCAGGACCTCACGGCGACACTCTGCCGGCAGGTCTGACCACTGGGGCTGCTGCTCCTCATCAGGCTAGAAAAGTCCTTGTGTTACACAAATGCCTTATTGTCCGTTCCCGTTTATGGGGCCGTGCGAGCGTTATGAAGGACCTCCGAACTATATAAGCCTTCGGCAACTATACAAGCCCGAGGACTCGTGGTTCCGTGTAAAGGATCGGCCCTATACTAAAGCAATAAGACGATCGGACTTTTTTCTTTTTTCTTTTTTTTTTTTTTTAAATTTGTAATACGTAAATACGGCCGTTGAGAGTCACGAACGCTTGTATAAATTAATTTGTTCCTAAAATGAATATTTAGGACTGTTTGAATAGGTTGTCATTTATTTTATGAATTTTTTCTTGTGTTCTATGTCTTCATATTATATTATTTACAAATTATCAATATTATTAGAGTAATGATAAATATGCTCAGTCATTTTTAAGCTGTTCGATAGAATTACATTGTTTGATATTAATGCACAATCTGGACTTCGCGAGATGTATGCGCAGCGTTAAAAAAAAAAAAAAAAAAAAAAAAAAAAAAAAATAAAAAGGAAGAAGAAAAAGAAAAAAAAATAATAATTAAAGAATAGCATTCTACTTTCCATTAAAATAAACAAACTAAACTCTTCAAGGATTTGTATGTAATAAAGAGCCGAAGTTCTCGATAGTGTTTAATATCTCAAATACGTGAATATTATAAATTAAAATAATTTCAAAACAATATGGCAATGTGATATTTGCCTTCTAACGATTCTTCGAAGAGTAATACAAAATATTTGATACTAAAAATCCAATGCTCGTAATAATTATTATGAACACATTAATTCTATGACAGATTAGACATAAAATCTGTTTTCAATTAGCTCGAGACGGCCATTTTTATAATGAAAATTCTAAAATATGAACTTTAATGAGTAATATTCGACAATTAATTTTCAAATATTTAGAAAATAGTTAGAATTTACTTTGATATAGAAATTAAAGGTTAATTTACGGGACCGTTCGGCACCCTCAAAACTTGTCAAATTAATTTACAAGCTTTAAATGTAAACGGCATCGTCGATGTTTTTCATCAACAACTTTTAATCAATAATATTATATCCTCAATGTAAGATTGGACTTGAAAGTGCGCGCATTCCCTATTCGCTACTCCTATTTTTCTTTTACAAATATGTAAAACTATGTTCTCAAATATCTCAACGATAGCGTTATATTAAGAATGCGTAAACTTAAAGCGATTACGGATTACGGATAAAATACGGAAAAAACATTGCGATACTGTAATTTTGCCAATTCTCGATATTCCTATATTATTAAAATTTTCTAATTTACGAAGATACGTTTGATTACATTTGTTGGGACATAAAAATATAATATGCAATGAAGGAAAATTAGAAATGTCTATTACGCAGTTAGACGAATGAAATTCATTGAAAGTGATAGAAGATATTGATCAATAATACGGTGAGTATTATTGTGCCTCCAATGTGAAATTAATGGATTAATTATTTGAGAAATGGCAATAATTCTCCTCTAAAAGTATCTCCAAATTAGTGCAATTCGTTCATTAATAATGTAGAAAATGTCTAAAAAGTCTTCGTAGTATGCAAAAAATTATTTGTCCTTGAGAAAATACTTTAATTTTGCCAAAGGCAGATTTTTGCCTACTGACGCATCGTGTCCAAGTCTCGTTCTTACAATACAATCAAATAATTCGCCATCCCAGGCTTCCTGCTGTTATCCAATCATATTCAACCGTCATTCTCGATTAATGCTTAATTGGCGAAAGCATTGGCAAATTTTTACCTGAGTGATGGTAATTGAAGATGCTATCTGTAATATTCTGTCTAAAGCAGCTTTATGCTTCTCCCACAAAATAACCGAACCCAATGGTCTTCCACCCCAACAGCAACCTGCACTGAAAGCTCGAACCCTTTCGATAAGTCTACGTAGTCTACCTGTTTGTTGCTGCGATAAGGACACTGAAATCAAAGTAGCAATGATGATTAATCATCATTTATAAATAAAGCTTTATAAATGTAGCTGGACTAATGATTTTGGATGAGTGGGAGATTAGAAATCGTTATCTCTTTACATTGGTAAAATTATAACAGATGCAGATAATTAAAATGAAAATAAAAATTTTTACATTTCTTCTCCGGTAATGTAAGAATAAGTGACTGGTTATTTTGAAAGTGATTGGGTATCGTGAAATTTAAAATGAAATAGTGAATTCAATTCATTTTTAACGTAGAGGATGGAAAAAATTGAGTTTCTTTGTGGGTGGGAGGGGCGGGGGGAGATGGGACGACAGTAAATTAATTGCGACGATATTCGTTCATTGTTTATTCTTAGAAATCAATTTTTCGACTATACGAGTGGCTTATTATCTAATTGTATAATTGCACACATCACTATACAATATGATAATATTGATTCTACCGTATGACACTGTTTTCTCAATACAAAGCATTATTGCAGTTAGCGTTATTGATGTTAAATCATTTAAAATTATTTAAAGGACACATAAATAAAAGATGGTACATTTTACTAATCTGGGATAGACTCAAATTTATAGGATGTACATGACTAAATAGAACTTTGGTTTATCGTACGTGCGTGCGTGCGTCCCTTTTATTTATGTTAAAGTTAAATCTTTGATTTTTTTTTTTTTTTTTTTTTTTTTGAAGAAGAAGAAGAAGAAGAAAATCTAATGCGGAGTTTGTAATATTTGACTAAAGTTAAAAAAAATTACAATAAACTATAGGTTGATTGCACTTTTGTTATCGGCACTATTTTCATTTAGCTGGAATTTCAAAACTACATTATCCATAAGCACGCCATTATTATTTCGGACCAACGTCTTTCCTCTAAGCGGGCAGATATAATAATCATAACACGAGTAATTGACAATTAATTTAATACCGAGAGTCGAATTCCATCGCTTGTGGAATGACTACGAGCTTCCGGGCTTGTCCGATAATACATCGCCATTAACGTTGAAAAATTAATTAGCTGCTCGCCCGAGCAAATTCATGCAGCCCTCTACTGCCGATGCACTTAAGCCGTATTCCACGAGGCTGGACGAGCAACAGCTGAGACAATAAAGCAAAATTACGGAATGCGTTTTCCGGCGGTAGGCAAATTGAGAGAATGCCCCAAGGCAGGATGTGTTACTTAAGGAGAGCGAGACGGTGGCAGGGTGGTTGGGTGATAAGGAGGAGAAGGAGGAGTATGAGGAGGGATACGTGTTGTGCCGCGTACATGGTTGGGACAATTAAAAAAATGATTCACTTTACGGGCGCGAGGAGGAGGAGGAGATGGAGATACGTAGGAAATACTTAAGTGGCTTTAGTCGTCACCTTCTAGTGCGACCTCCTCGAGCATGTTGAAAAGCACTCGCTGAGCGCAGCCGCTCAATCCTCCCATTCGGTGGCTCACCAGCAGATCGAGGAGACGCACGATGTAATTAAAGCGCCGGCAGTCGTGCACCGCCGATAAAAAGTCGAGCCTCTTCAGGGCGTCGCTCAAGCCGTTGAATCCTGCGATCTGCGCAATTTTAAGGATAGCGTGAGTCTCGAGGATCGGCGGCTTTTAGTTGCTGGTGGTGATCGGGGCGATGGCTTGTCGATTGCCTTGTACATTATTCGAACCGGCTCGATCGATGATATTTTGGCTGTGCGCGACGTGGCCGATCAACGATGGCCGACGATCTTTCAGAAGGACCGACACACGTTGTCAAGCGAATGCTATTTGCTCATTCGTATGGAAGGAAGGCGTTAACATTAAGATGGACCGTTGATTACGGATGTTTATTATGGATCTTATCGAACGTGGAGATCCGATAAAGCATTATTCGACACACTTTGTGCAATGATGCTTGATCGCGAATTTCAATATTATTTCCCTTTGCTTACTGCGTTATTGTGTTTTTGTAGTAAGCGATTCATTGATTATAGAGAGAATTAATTTTATGCGAATTTGTGAGCATCTTCGACATCCACAATTATAATACAAAAATTTCGATTAATTTCCTAAGATTTAGCAACGACGAGTCGTGAGTTGATATTTAAAATACTTTATTTTCATCGTTACCGAATTCTTATTTCATAAGAGTAAAAAGTTTCATTCCCCGCTATCCTATGCCTCACTCGTCTAATTATAACTTAATTTCTATCGTTTTTATTTAAATTATTTGTATTTTATTCTTTTGGTATAATATTGTATTTGCTTCTATTTAATATTTGCAAGTGCACGACCTCGTACATTTATTAGATTCTTAATTACGTATAATCATAAGTATCTAGTTTATTAAAAATTCCTATTTGCCTGCTCATCGTAGCTCGTACATTATATTTCACTTTTCATTTTTTTCTTTTTTTTTTTTTTTTTATTTACTCTCTTGACATACGATAAGTATAAAACAAAACAAAACAAAAACAAAAAACGAAAAACAAAAAACAAAAAACAAAAAACAAAAAACAAAAACACAATTGTTATAATAATTTCATGATTTTATTTTAATATTAATATTCTCCAAGTGCAATGAAAAGAAAAGCCAGTGAAAGTGATAAATACAATTAATAGGACATTTACTATACGTACGAGCATTTTAGATGGGAAAAATAGGAAAATATTATACCAAACAAGATATAAAAGTGGCATTATTTATTGTATAAAGTTTATTACTTAAAATTAGATTTGTATAATCCTCGTTTTTGTTATTTATGAAAGTTGAAACTTGAAAATTATATCTATTTCTTGCGTATAAAAGCATTAGCTTCACTCCTATTATTATTATTATTATTATTATTATTATTATTATTATTATTATTATTATTATTATTATTATTATTATTATTATTATTTATACAACTGTTAATCTTAGAACTTTAACGGTTTCGACAAAATTACCACGTTCCGCTTAATTGAAATAGTAATTGCAATTCGTGTATACGTAGCTAAGAACTTTCGTAAAATTTCTAAACGCTTTGTATGGCGAGAGTTGGAAAATTAGTAAAAAATGTTAAATTCAATTCCGTTTTCAAAAGCCGTTAAAACTCGTTAAATTTATAAACATCTTATTTATTATAATTCATTGCAAATATAATAATATTGCCTCGCGTTTGAAAATGACACCTTATTCCCCTTTTTCATTAGCTAAGGTGGACCATACGTGACAAATGTATTTACATTTCACGTTAATTTGCAAATTGCACATTAACCGCGTACAGATTGTCGCACGACGCGCTAATTTATAATCAGAAATTATCCTTTGGATTAATAAGAGCTCGTAGAATTTCCGGCATCGGAGTTTCTGGACATATTTATGAGAAACATTTAGTGCCATTGGGCATTTAATTGTAAGCCCCATGGACGATCGAACACGCTCGGTCAATAATAAAACAATAGAGCATTTCCAAAAATCAGGATCACGTGACCTTAAAGCTCGAGGTGCGCGGGCGTCGTCCGTAGATAAGGGAGTACGTCATTAAAGATTTCAACGTTCATCTCGCGGGCAATGAAAGCGAGCCGACGAAATTAGTTCGCCATGCATTGTCAAGATTGATGGTAATGCCGGTTTATTTTCGTATCCGTTCCCTCGATCTCATTCCGCCCGCGCGGCAAATGTAACTTCCCCACCACGTTCAACTAAATAGAATTTCATTTTCTTTTTTCCCCCGTATGGAGGATGATCTAAAAATAAGAGGCCAGTGGTAACAGCTAGCACACGTCGGAAGAGTCACTCACCTCGCGGGTGCACTTCAGTGTGATGTGACAGTGTGGCTGGACGGCATCTTCTGGAATGGCGAAAAAAGAAAGATAATGGCGTGCGTATTGTAGCTTCTCTCGAACTCGACTTCCCTACCCCTCTCTCTCTCTCTCTCTCTCTCTCTCTCTCTCTCTCTCTCTCTCTCTCTCTACGTGCGTTTAAGAATAAACTTCCGCAATTTCGCGCTGACAATTAACGTTCTCTCGCATTCAGAAATTTCTCGGGGATGTGGAAGCCCCTTTCTCTCACTCTCTCACTCTCACTCTCTCTTTCTCTCTCTCTCTCTCTCTCTCTCTCTCTCTCTCTCTCTCTTATTTTTAAACTGCAAGGAAATGGGGATAAAGTGAACTAGTCCGTAATATATGAGACCGAGCGAGATGTGTGCCTCGGGCATGTCATCGTATATTAAACGGCTGGAGCAAGGATTTTCAGTTTTATAAAAGCTTAGATTTTCCATTCGAAATTATTAAACGTTCCTTTTACCTTTATATTTACTTCGAAAGTTATTTCAACATTTATTTTACATCTTATTCATGGCTCGATTCTTATTTCTTATCAATCTGCTGCTATTTAGCATTGACAATACATATTAGTATGCAAATTTATAAAGACAATCATTAATTTACTACGCGCGCACGCATTAACACAGAGAGAAAAGGACCAACATATCGATAGATTCACTATCGAACGTTTTTAGTGTATTTTCTTTTTTTATTAAATCAATTAATAGTAAGGTGTAATATCGATAACAGTCAGTATCGAGCATATATGTTGTATTTTTCTAGAGAAATTAATTTCATACAGATTCTCAAAATTTATGGCAAACATTATAAATTCTATATATGAATACTAAATATATAAAAGAGATAGATGCCAGATTCATTCTGTCGAATCGAAAACATAAACTATAAAATTCTTTATCTACATCAAACAAAATTATTGGTAATAATTTTATGTCATTTAATGCATATTAAGACCAAAGACAAAATTCAATCGTTAAATTATGAATTTTAAATGCTTTTAAATGTTTTTTTTTTGTTTTTTTTTTGCTTTGTTTTTGTTTTTTTTTTTTAATGTTTACGTGATTTTAAATGCCAGTAAATATTTTTACTAAATTGATGTTGTATATTTCGCTTTCGAGTCGAAAGATGTTTTCTAATGCATAAAGAAAATAATTTATTCTTTCAAATTAAAGTGAAAGGTTATTCATATTTTGAATTAAACACGTTAAGATATTTATCTAATAGGGCTATACTAATGAAAAACCTAACTCCCACTATAATAAATTAATAAATATATAATTATTTATTTATTTATTTATTTTATTTTATTTTATTTTA